ATGATACCGAGTCCTCCTCAGTCAGTCTGATGCCCTGAATGTGGTTCACTCAGACTTTACTGGAGTTTCTGGATGATAGTTAGTGACTGAATCAAGTTATTTCTCCTGTAGTGTTGGGAAGTTAACATTAACTCCTGTAACGGTCACAGTGGGAGATCAGCTGAGCCTCAGACTTTGAGCCTGCCTAGGAGGACTTCCTGCAGACTTGTGCAACATTAACCAGTTTTTTAAATCAATTAGGAACAGCACAGTCCAGCACGTTAAAATGCCTGTCATTTGTTTTTTGACTGAGCCAAAATACCATGTGTCAAGATACAAGCCCGTCTGGTTTCCCAGCATCAGCACTTCAGAAGAACCTAAGCTGCACTGGGTGAGAATTTTACAAACCAAACAATTATTGGATCAATTCATAATGTCAAATGATAATTAGCTGCAACCCCGACCATAATACTATTGCATACAGAGATTACATGTTGTTTGTGGACATCTTTAAGAGAACTACTCCACTGTTTGGCTCCACAGCAGAAACATAAAGAAGCGCAGACATAATGGTGTAAAAACGTCAACCAGATATGATGAAGAGGTTAAAGGCTGCACTTCTCTTATGCTGACTTACTGGATTTATCCTAAATATGAGTCCTCTACAGGTCACGGGACAGGGATGTGTAGTTACTTCCTACGTGGAGCTGAGAGGTTTGTTGATGTGGAGAAGTCACTGCATGTTTTACCTGCAGTTGGGAGGTGGGGGTTACTGTGGCTACTGCGCCCGTGAATTTTAACTGGCAGAGTAAGTCTGAGGCTCAGAAGCTCCTGAATGACATCCCATTGGATTTCTGACTTTAAAGTGATACTTCTTCCTACATGATGTGAAAATACAAACTAAATCAAAGGTTTATCTAGGACACGAAATACAAACACACTACACATCTGACGAAGACTGGAGTGGACCTCTGCTTCAGTATCCCAGGTCCAGCTGGATTTTGTGTTCAAAAATGGCGATGAGCAGCATTATGCAGAAGCCCAGCAGGATGCCGGCATTCTGCAGCAGGAAGAAGCCCCAGTGGCTGAAGCCGTGGTCCCCGGCATCGTTATGCAACATCTCAGGCACCTGAAAGAAACAACAGTTTAACAGGTGCATTTCAGGATCTCAGTTCCTTTACTGGCATTTCCAGATGTATGCCAGCTTATTGTTATACATAGCTGAGCCATAAGGCGAAGCTCTCGATTTACTGGTCAATCTACGTTCCGACCCTCACCTATGGTCATGAACTTTGGGTCATGACCGAAAGGGCAAGATCCCGGATACAGGCGGCCGAAATGAGCTTTCTCCGCAGGGTGGCCGGGCGCACCCTTAGAGATAGGGTGAGGAGCTCGGTCACCCGGGAGGAGCTCAGAGTAGAACCGCTGCTCCTCCACATCGAGAGGAGCCAGCTGAGGTGGCTCGGGCATCT